TTCCCTCCCTGTGTAGCTTGCAATTCTGATGATGGGAGTGGTTCCTTTCTGCCACAATTGGCACTGCTTAAGTAAACCTAGTAAATCTTGTAACATCCTGTGCTCCCTACGCCTGATAAGTTGCATGAGCTTCTCTCCTCCCTCCAGGATGGATGTTTCAATTCCCAGGAATGAACTATGCAACAATTGATTACAATGCCTTGTCTCCTGTGCAAAGCCCGTATTTCCATCTCTGTCTCGCTCATGCCCCTCCTTCCTGTCTCTCTTCTCCCTCTCTGATACAGGCTGGACTTTCTCTGCATGCTCCACACCTAGCCACAGCATGGATCGCTATGTAGCACAAATGTTCTCTGTCACACTGATAAAGTGGCTGCAACGCGGGAGAAGGATACAGGACTCCCACACTAGAGGTGAGCACAGCTTGTCTGGGTCTTGAGTCACGTTCTATGTACCTGGGGCATAGCCTCAAGGCCAGTGTGTGAATGTTGGGTGTGGTTGTAGCCTGAGGCCAGGAAGTCAAGAGAGGGATGTCTTTGTCTTCCCTCCCCTTCCCTCCTTCCTCCTTACTTCTTCCCTTTATCCTCCCCTTCCTCTTAGTTTCCTCCCAGCCATCTGAAAATGTGCGATGTGGCCATCCAATCTAATTAGTTAAACCCTCAGTTCTGACAGGAGGAGGCTTCAAGAAAAAAAAAGTCTACTTTCCTTTGCTCTTGGCCTCTCAAAAAATAAAGAAGGAGATCTGATTTCAGGAGTGGAACCGCAGCGCCTTGATCTTCAGTGCCAGGGGCAACCAACTGTGAGCTGAGACCTCTATCTTATAGGCCCACAGCAAGCCGAATGACAGAATTGTGAGCTCACAGACACACTGACTGAGTCTTGGGGCTCTCACTGGGGACCTCAGGCACAGCTGCCACTGAGTCTCTGCCAGGTAGATCAAGAAGTCAGGACCAGGAGGGCTAAACTTCTCACATCTTCCAAGTGTCTGCCCAGCAGCTTCAGCAACTCCAGCCCACTCCAGCTGATGGGTCTCTGTTTCAGCTTTCTCTCTCTCTCTCTCTCTCTCTCTCTCTCTCTCTCTCTCTCTCTCTCACACACACACACACACACACACACACACACACACACCTGTCCTTGCTATCCCCTGAGCAAGTGTGCAAGATACTGACTGTGCAGATAGGACAGGTCAGAGGACACAGTAATAGGAAGGACAAAGGTAGAGCCATTTCGGATGGTCTCCAGGGTTTTGGGCAGGGGTGCATGAAGACACAGAATTCAATAAACCAGTGCTGGCCCCTCAGACTGGATTTTAGGTTGTGAAAAGCCCACAGAGGTGTATCTAGTGAGAGGAGGGAGAGAGCCATTGAAATGCCACAGCAGTGCCGGCCAGCTTCCCCTGGCCACCAGTAATCAGATTCTGTCATGTTCAGAGCATTAAACCAGACAACTGATCCAAACACTGGCATTTGCTAAGTTCATTTTCTGAGGCCACTGTCCACTCCTTGATGGCCAGCCAGTGTGACACTGTGCTGTCCTGCTCCAGTCCTGGAAATGGCAAGAGATCAGACTGAGGAGGACAGAACATCTATAGTCCAAAGAGGCCACTGGCTCACCTCTGCCACGCATGTGGGCTGGGACTAGAGCGAGTCAGGAACACTGCAGGGCAGCCAGGCTTGAGTGGATCAGGAACACAGGTGTCTGATCTAGAAGGAGTTCTGCCATCTCCCATGGTAAGGAGGAGAAAAAGATACTCACCAGATCTGACATGGACTTGCCATCCATGTCAGGGTCAAGCCTTTGTCACACCTCACCCAGAGCAGTGGGACATGAATAGGAGCTCCTCTGCTTCCTTCCCTTGTGCACATGTAAACATGCATAAACACCCCTACAGCCTTTGACCATGGGGCGAGCATGTTACACACTAGGATCTGGAAGCACAGTGCCCTACAGGTCCTTTTTTTATCCTTTCACCTGCTGTGTATACCACCATGAGATGGAAGAGCCTAGAGCCCCACAGTTAAGCTTCCTATTGGTTGGGTTAATGTCTCAAACCATATAAGGTAGCTTTAAGCCAAACTGTGCCTTTTCCTATTTGAAAGCTTTCTTTTTTCCTATAACGGACCAGTGATCAGGCCACACACAAATTCCCAGTGAAAACTATACAGCCCAAATGGAACAGAAGTTCAAGTGTTTGTTGAGTTATTTCATAACAAACAAGTTACTAACCACCCCACCCCAAAAATCCTCTAAGAAAAAAAAATTATCTGAGAAAAATTACAAAACATAAGATATTAAGGTCAAATCATAAAATGATAACCAGATGAACTTAATTTTGTCCCCTTTAGGTTATTAAAGCACACAGTGCTATTAAAAAATTGATGAGGGTTCTATTTTTCCAGTTAGAGGGATAAATACAGGGGCTTGCATATATTAATTAGGTAAGTGTTCTATCATGGAGCTATACCCCCAGCCCAAGAGATCAGGTTGGGGGTGGGGTGTTCCTACATTTTTCAAAGCTGATCCCATGAGTTTCCTAATACTTAATTTCTTCTACTTTATTTCAAAAGAGGTTTTTGTGCCTGGTTTTCCTACCTCATGCCATCAAAATCTGACCTCTAGAAATTAACATGAGCATAGACCATGCTCCCCCACCATCCGGCATTGCCAGTTATGCTTAGGACCAACTTCAATTGTGACAGATGCTCCCTCGCCCTCTGGCTTAAAATAGCTGTCATAGATGTCAGACCCAGCAAATGCTCTCTGCCAGCTTAATAGCCCATTAGGCGACTTCATGAAAGAGGCAAATGAATCCATCACCAAAGGGGAGCGTCAACTTCACCCACCACCATGGGCTAGAGACCTTGCATGTATCAATCGTCAAAATGGCTTTGATCTGTTAAAAATAGAAGTTGGCACACTGCTTGGCTACAGAAGCTGCATGCTAGATTTTTCAAAACCCAACAGCACTACAGTTGGAGAGAGAGCACCCTGGAGACACATGGAGCTCAAAGAGGACCCCCCACAAAGCTCTCTATCTTGGCTGATGCCATGCGGCCTGCTTCCAAGGATGGCATGATGGAAATTCTCTTACAACTCTAGACATCTACCATGGCCACAGCCAATGGAGTTCACCAGGCTTCCCTTAAAGTGGCTGCAATTTATACTCAAATCATTCTCCTTCTGGCTGGAAAAAAAACACCCACAAACTATTTTAATTGCTTGAAGCAATTCTACTATGCTGTAATTATCACATTGCCTTGTAATTATTTGCTTTGTGAATGTCTCTCTCCAAACCCCATCCTTCTCCACCCCTAGACTCCAGCTCCTTAAAAGAGCCATGGCCTTGATATCCAGCATATGCCTGGCATGTAGGGAACCCCAGCAACTTCAGTCAGATTGAGTTCATTTGAATTGAAAATGTCAGTAACTTTTCCCCTCTTAGATTCTGAATCTTATTATGAATACCAGAATCTATTATACTTGTGTGGTTAATCAACAAGACTTATGCACCTTGAAGATCCTTTTAAGTGACTAGACTAGACTGGTGGATTGTGAGAAATCAGAAGTTATCACCATATATTTCTATATTTGGAGTCTTCCATGCCTACCATCCAAAAGAAATTAATAATCCTGATTACTAGAGTCTCTAAGGCCATTCTCACATTAAAATTAAATATGTATGTGATATACTTAGCTCGATGGCTAGCACATGGGAACACTCTTTGAACATTAGCTCTGTGTCCTCACATGCTACCTAGTGCCTCTAAAGCAGCAACAGTGTGGTTTTCAGGACCACCTTCCGGCACCTGCTCTGTCATCACAAACCAGAAACATTGAGAGGCCATCATTTGGATACCCATTTTTTTGTGTGGTTTTCCTCCTGAAACCAGAGCACGTTCTATTTTAATTTTGCTTCCTCTCTTTCATGTCGCCATTTCCCACCCCCAGCTGTGGCTGCTTAAAGTCAAGCCAAAGAGTGGACTACAGCTGGTGAGCACTACACATACAATGACAAACCAGACAGGAAGATAATGATGAAGACAAGAAGAATGTTCCATCCTAAAAAAAAACCTGTCTTCTTCAGAGTTCAACTCTTAAAGAGCCTGACTATCAGGGTATGATTTTTTCAAAGCTCATGTTTATGCAATTATAATCTGATCTAATCCTTTGGATGTTGGGTGAAAAAAAATGATGTAGGAAGAAAGTCTGGCAAAACCAAAAGAAGTACACCAAGTTTTCTCACAGGGTGGACAGGTCAACATGACTAATGGAGCCAACCGTGAGCGAGAGCTCTCTTACCACCAACAGGCAACAGTGGATTCCCATGGAGAAGTAAAAATAACTAACTGACTCTGTTTGCTCATTAAGTCACTCTCTCATCATAAGGTATATCTCTAAGGATCCCTAGAGTAGAAATTCCCAAACCAATAGGCATAGATATTCTGCTCTTTGCTGTGTGATCATACACGGGCCAGCTGCTATCATTTGAAGGCACACAGAAGCTTGTATGCAGAGCCAGATCCTCCTGCTTAATGACCTCCATGTAAGTGCAAATCCTCCAGATAGAGCCTGAACCCATGAGCATCCCTCACCCTTTACAAACAACTACACAGGGGACTGCGGGTTGCCACAATAGGATTTCAAGCAACTTGGAGATGTGCTAGAGTTAAGTCCCAAGAGCATCTCCCATCAGGTAGGTGAAATTTCAGATGTCTACCAGGACAATGAATTAAGATCACAAACTATAGTGGTTTGAGTTTTGTTTGGTTGGTTTGGTCTTTTAAAATCTAAAACAAAACTCCACAAATCTATAACGTAGTCAGAACCAACTCAGTCAATTCTGACCCATAGATGTGGGTTTTCCTAGATAGTCGATCATGTCAGTGTTCTGAGACCATCCACAGATCTTAGAAGGTATGTGCAACCACCTCCCCCCCCCAAAAAAAAACCCTCCAAATGACATCACAGCACAGTCACAGCCAAAGAGACACAGTTGCACTTACGCAGGGCATGCCACTCATCCTGGCGAATGGTCTTCGTGATGTTGAATGTGAGGTTCCTGGGGATGGTTGCTGAGGAATAGTGGTACTTAATATACGTGCATCTCTCAATTTCTCCTGGAAGAGAGAAATAGAAAATCCAGTGTGAATGAGGCAGGGACCTCCTGTCTTAATTAGGGTTTCTATTGCTGTAAAGAGACACCATGATCACCGACAACTCTTACTTAAAACAAGCAAACATGGAAGTGAGACTGGCTTCCAGTTTCAGAGAGTTAGTCCATTGGCATCATGACAAGAAGCATGGAGGCATGTAGACAGACATGGTGCCGAGAGTTCTACAACTTGATCCAAAGGCAGCAAAAGGAGACTGGGTGCCATACTGGGCATAGCTTGAGCATAAGAGACCTCAAAGCCCACCCCCATAGTGACACACTTCCTCCAAGGCCACACCTCCTAATAGTGCCACTCCCCATGGGCCAAGTATTCAAACACGTGAGTCTATAGGGCCCGTTCCTATTCAAACTACCACATCACATCTTCAGCATCCTGGGATCCAGATGTCCATCCCAAAGAAGGAGGCATGTTTTGTGTTGGACTTGATGATAGCTACAGTTTGTACTGAGCAATAAGCTTGGCTCAAAAGGAACAAGCATGTAACGCTACAGTTAGATGGAGCTGTCTTAGAAAAAGCATCTCTGGGGCCACACACAGACTGGAAGATTCAAAACTCAGACTATTAAAAGCTTTTCTTTTTTTAAGGTGGTGTCCATGTTTACCTACCTTTAAGAAAATTTACTTTCAAAGTTTAAAAAGGATGATGGCACTTGAGAAACAATACTCATCAATAATACTGAGGGTGACCTCTTGCCTACCATGTACACACACAACTACATACAAACATCTACACACACACACACACACACACACACACACACACACACCCATCACTTCAAGTTTAAAAGGAATTTGCAGTCAAATAAATTTGTTTCCACACAGGAAAGAGAGCTTGCTTCAGCCCTGATGATATTATTTGTGCTTTCAGTGTCTAGTCATCTAGAACGGGAATAGGATGGGAAGGCTGCCTTCTATTTTTTCTCTCCATCTTCCTAACCTCACTTCTGAACACAAAGCTTTTGAACACAGTCTGGATTTCTTTGAACTATTTTCTTCTCTGGTTTCTTAAACAAAATTGTGGCCCAACCGCAGACTCAGTACCTGGTCCAGCATACTCCCTAACTACATTCTAAATCTTTGTCCTTAGGCCTACAGAGAAGTGTAATCCTCACCCCTCATCAAGGAAACTTCTCTGTGAAATAGACAGAGATCATTATAGAAAAGTATAATAAATCAAAATGCAGAGTTATGGACTCAATCCAAAGAGATACATCTATAAAACAGCTCCCATCTCTAGGGCTCAGGGAATATCTTGGAAGAGGGAGAAGAAAGATTATAAAAACCAGAGAGTCAGGGAGTTTGCTGTGAGACCATGTCTCCTAGTGATGTCAGAGGCCACACCCATAAAGTTTCACCAACATGAGTGCCTAATCATGAGCTGAGCAAGAACAGCAATCAACATGCTTAAGTGGATTCAGGTGGTGCATGCCTTTAATCCAAGCTCTTGGGAGGCAGAGGCAGGCTGAGTTCGAGGCCAGCCTGGTCTACAGAGTTCCAAGACAGCCAAAGATACACAGAGAAACCCTGTCTCAAACAAAACAAAACAAAACAAAAAGTGGATTCAGGAAAGTTTCAACCCTACACGAACAACTACAGACAACTAAGGAACGCTGAGCATGGAAGAAATTGTCTTATCCGTAGAAGAGCACACCAACTAGTTATCCAATACCAAATGGTCAGTCCTCAAAACATACATACACAGCAAGTAACATTATACAGGCTGAACAGGGTATATGTAGGAATAACCATGTATATACTTACACATACATGCATGTAACAACAATTAATGAGGCTAGAAGGCAAGGAAGGGTGTGTGAGAGGGCTCAGAAGGAGGAAAGGAAGGGAAAAATGATGTACTTATAACCTCAGAAATAAAAGAAACAATGTTAAGTAACTATTAATCAGCTTGCTGTGCTGCTCAAATTGCTGAACTGCTCCTACGTCTTAGGACAGAGGTCCTTAAAGTCGCCCAGCACCAGCATGAGCATCCCATAGGAACTTGAGAGAAAGACATCTTCTCAGATGTGGACTTAAATCCAGGTACACAGAGTCCACATGCTAGAGCCCAGCTGAAACATTTAAACTTCCATGTGCTTCTTGTCTTGTCTTGAGGACTGCTATCTTGGAATCTAACAGAATTGCCAGAGGAATGAGTCAGGAACCTACCACATTTTGCAAGTTCCCAACAGGAGGCCACATGGGGTTGCCTCCCTCCTCACTTTCAGCCTCCTCAAGTTTCTATTGACGTTTGCTTATCTGGGGGGATATTAAAAACTTAGTGTCAGGGCATTGTGAAGAATCAGGAAAGGGGTGGTTTTTTAAAGGTTAGGGGTTTTGATATTTGGTTTTTCACCTGAATGGATTTTGATGGTAATCCATTTTGCACCCCACTGATTTTCAATTTATAACTGGTGGCACCTGATTGAATTGTTTGACCCCCCTGGCCCACTGTCAGCAGGGAACTTGGCAATTGGCGGAGTGCAATAATTTACAGAAAGCCTTGTGAAACCGATGCCTTATTGTAAATCATATTTGGACAACTGCCCAGTTGCCAGTTATTGGCGGACATTCCTCTAACAGGACAGCCTCTGTCCGGAGACAAACTTTGGGGGAGTGGTATACACTCTTTTCCTGTACCTCTGTTTTCAGCCTCTCTAACTCTGGTTAAGCCTACAAAACTCCTGTGGCTGCTCACATGTCCTGGCATTCCTAACCCCAACACACCTCCTTATACCTCAGCCTACCCTCCTCTCCTGACTTGTCTAGAAAACATACCTACCAGACAGTCCCCAATGTCTTAACTCAAATCTGTACCTCATACACTTTAATTGAATAATATCTATTAATAGCACCATCTCTCCCTCTGTCTACATCATCTCTGCAGCCACCTCCTCCCTGGGAGACTCTTGCTTCCTAGTCACCAAATTCTACTTCGAAAATGTCCCTGGATCGTGTCTTTCTCCATGGCAGTTGTCCTAATAAAGTAATATGCAACACAGGGCTTCAGACAAAGCCAGGCCACAGACAAGATGGAGGTCCCTTAAGATAATAGAACTTGCTGATGTCTAATGTCATGGCAATCCTAGTTCGTTGAAACATACTCTATAGAATTTACAAAGCATGTCAAAATTTCCTAAGGATAGATTTTTCAGAACATGTCCTCGTCACTAGATTATACAGGACAAAAATAATCTAGCAGCACACTTACGTGGTTTCCAACCTTACATATGTCATAGCACACACAGACACGTATACAGAACACCCTTGGATAAACAACTGAGACACCCTATCCAGGCTTCCTGAAAGCTGGAGGAACCAGCATTTTTAACATATCTAGAATCCATTCCTGGGTTTCTGTACTTGACCCAACAACTCTGATAGAGATAATGTTCCATTTAGTTCATTGTATAGCGTCACTGAGTATGTTATACTATTTACCATTGTCTCCCTGACTTACAAATGATAAGAAAGTGGTGGGATGAGAAGATTATGTGACTTAGCCAGAATTAGAGCTCAAGGTAGTCTACCCAGAACCTCCCTCCATTCACCTACCTCCTCCCCAATATCATACAAAGAAAATGTGACCATGTGCTCCATCACAGGAGTCTGATGACCTGAGTGATCCTGAGGGGATATCACATGGCAATTTTCCAGCAAAACCATCCCTTCCATCAAGAAGACACTGCTCCTGGGTGATGAGCTCACTTCTCCTCCCCTCTGCCTTCTCCGCAGGGAAGACACCATTGCCTGTGACCTATCTGTTTACATGTCTCCCTCCTCACTAGATTTTGCATTTCTTAAAGGCAAGGATACTTACTATTTTAGCCATTCATCTTTATCTCCACTGCCTCCTGCATGAGGCACACACCAATACCATGCACTCTGAAGACATGCATGACTAACCCAAGGCAGCCTTCGGGAGGCCACACTGTACAGAGTCCAGCTGAATTTATTACATGCAGGGATTTAAACTAATTGGAGTAAATTAATGTGTGATGGATAAAAGGGGTGACTGTTGCAGAACTCTGAGAGACTATGTAGCACACACCCTATCTGAACCAGAAGAGAGAGGTTTGCCAATCACTGTGAGGCAAAAGTTAACCATATGGAATCATAGATCAGCGCTTCTGTATACTTGGCAAATGTAGGTCAATGGGCCTTTCTTTCTGCTGAGGTTAAAGAAAAGACCAGAAACTGATATAAAGAGCAGATGGTTAAAATAAGAATTACCAGCAATGGGTTGATTTGCTATGGTGGGGTAGGTTGTGGCCTGTACAGCAGAACCTTTCAGAGTACCTGTGTGCCTAAAAGCCAGTGCTGCTCTGTTTGTGAAACCCTGCACATGGGTGGGGCAGGGGTAGGGAGCCCCCTAATGAGAAGGGCTGCCCTTATCTAATTTGCACCCATGTGCACACACATATGCACATACACAAACACAGAATCACGTACAAACACACACACACACACACACACATACACATACACACAACTATGTGAGTTAACTGCTGTAGCCCTACATGCAATAATTTAAAAATCAAACAAAATGTTCTCTGGACCCAGCCTTGGAGCACAAAATCAGATGTCACTCATGATGACCAGACTGGTGGCTGTCACTGATGTCTGAGAAGAGTGACTGATTTCTCAGCCGAGGTCTAATTCTCTCAGCCTCAAAACATACCAAACAAACTGCTACAGGTTACAGGAGAGCTGAAATGAGCTGCCACCCCCACGGCCTTGCCACCTGTAGCTCAATCAGCCCACAAGAGGAAAGGTCCCATGGCACTCAGCAAGAGCAAGAAACTAAGGTCTAATCCATGCAAGTGGTGACCAGAGAGCCAGGCTGGAGCAGCAGGAACAGCACCTCTGGAAGCCCTCACTGTTTACTTTGCTTCCAAATTGTAAGCATCCTGCCTTTGACAGCAATTAAATTGGAAAGATCCAAA